TCCGGTACTGACATCAGTCAGTCAGGGCCAGAAGTGGGGACACACCGACCTCAGACTTGTCTTTATCAGCACAAACCCCACTGAAGCCTCAGACAAGGGGAACATTTCACACCTCACCTGCACACTCAACTTGTCAGTAGGGACCAACGGGTGGGAGTCTGCTGTTGGACCAAGCTGAAAAGTCCTTCTTAGCCCATAGGAAGATTTTATTCTGCTGGTAGTATGAGTTCGTACATAACATGGACAACTGTGTTCAACTCACTTTGCTTCCCAGGAAAGCCATGCCAGTCAACTCCCAGCAAGGCTTCTGCATGCAGAGCCCACATCACTTGCCTTCAAATGAGAGAGAGGATGTATTTCCAAAAATTTCCTGTTCACATGGCACACACTAATGATTCTTTCAGAGAAACTGTGCTCAGCATGGCTGCAAAAATGCCAGAGCCCTGTTGGCAAGTCAATGAAGATTGCAAGCCCAGAAAAACGTTTCTTAAATCCGTACTGAGATGACAGTTAACAAAAGTGAAACAGAGGAGGTGGTAAGAAACCATACATTGACTTTTTTTATGCTGGTTCTCCAACCTGAGATCACTAAAACCATCTGGAGCTCTGGTCTTTAATTGCACTGCCTGCACCTCTGAAGCTGCACTGGTAGGTCCTGATTTCAGCCTAATCCAAATTTATTATTTACTTACACTGTAACAGGGATAAGGATCATGCTTTCTGCAAAAAGAAGTTTTGCAAGAAGGCAAAACAAGTGAAGGATAGAAACTGTGACCTTGCCTTGTATCTAAATGGAAGTAAAAATGGGCAGGAGAGCTTTGTGCTGGATGGCCATGCCATGGAGCAAGTCAAGGCAATGCAACCAAGAACAGCAGCGACTGCTGCTGCTCATCCTGCCCTGGAGCTAGCAGACACTTCTGAATTTTTCTGTCAGCCCGGGTTTCTATATAATTTTATTTGGCCTCAAAATACTCATCAGAATGGTAATTGCACCCGGTGGAGTTGTTAGCAGGTGGGGAGGTACATGCTGCAGGGCCACCAGCTCCCGGGCTGCTGCAGGTGACGTTGGCTCCAGTATCACTGACACACGCTGCAGCTGGCACTGTGGATGTACCCTAAAATTAGGCATTGAGCTCTGCTCCTTGTTTGCCTGATTCCTTGTATCTATAAGTGATTGCTAAAGATGTAGGGATGCTTTCATCAGGGCCCTGAAGGCACCAATGGGCTTTAACAGCCCTGAGGAGCCTCACCTGGGGCCTCCACCCACATCCATGTCCCTGGAGCCTATTTCAGCCCAGCATAGGGATGTCAGTCCCTGTCCTAGTAAAGCTGCAGGATACTGGTTTCCAGCTCTGGCCGTGTCACCATGAACTTACCGAGCGACCTGGGCCCTTGGATGAACCTGCTTGTGATTTCCAGCTCTGCTCTGCTCCTTGCATAGGTACTGTAGCCCTTGGGTGTCTTTAGTTCCCCTGTGGTGGCTCCTTCAATGGGAACAAATAATGTGTTTTATTCCATGAAACAGGAGTTTTTCCTATTCTATTGAAACCTGTGGAGTGAAGGATAACCTACATCCATCACAGGTGTTATTTTTGGTGACCAGCTTTCCCCAAAAATATACTTCACTCTTATCCTCTGACTTTGAGTGTGGGTTCATATGAATCAACTCAGGAGATGCATTTTCACACCAGCAAAATAGTTCCCCCTTTACATATATTGAGCTGATGCTCTCAGGTCAATTAACTTGCTCTTGTCTAATGTGCTATCAAGCACCCTGGTACAAAAAGGTGGTGGGAAAACTATGAGGGTTGCTTTTTCTGTTACCAGGAGAGGGTGGTTTTTTCCCTTTACTTTGGGTCCTACATAGACAGACTTCAAAGCTACGGGCAAAGACCAACCAGCTTTGGGAATAACGGCTGTGTGTGCCCTGGCGTGTGGGTCGTGGCAGAGGATGGAGCAGGCAGCTGCCCAGCTCGTACTCCCAGCCCAGCAGCTGGGCTGCCTGTCTCAGGAGCACAGGGCTTCCTCTGTGACTTTGGCTACCTCCTTTCCATCCAGCAAATAGGCTGAAACCTATTGAAGGTCCTTCTTGTCTTGTAAAGATAACAGCTGGAATTTGGCAGGGTGAGAAGTGTGCTTACAAAGCAAACATGCTTGAACTTACAGAAAGACTCAATTAAGGGGAGGACCTCTATTAATTTATTTTAAGTGTGCATTAATTTGGATACCCCACCCTAGCAAATAACCTCCTTCAGGTTTCTTACAATTTCATGGCACTTTCCAAGCAACTTTCCTGTAGCAGCTATGGACAGGTTTCTGTCCTGAGTCCAGCTAGTGATCACCCTTTTTCAGTGACTGATATATTTTGGCAGCAGCCTCTGACAACGCCAGCTCTGAACATGATTGCTTTTTCCCAGATGCAATTATCTGGTGGCCCCTTCTCCCGCACCACCCATAGCAGCCCTGGTGCTGCAGAGCCTCAATCCCTGTCCACGCAGAATTGCTCTGCCGTCACACTGGTCTTCCAGTTTTAGCCATCTGTCTCAGTCTTGATCAAATATCTCCAGGTTGCATTAGTGGTTGTGTTTCTTTGTTTAGATTTTTTTTTTTTCTTTTCCTTCTAGAAAAAGGGCTTGAATTTTTTTTTTTTTTTAATATTTTAAATATTTAAGTTTTCAATTGTAAAAAACAAAAAAAAAATATTGATGTACTGTCCATCTGGCTTTTCAGCCTGGAAGGAGAGCAATCTTTGGTGTAATCATGGCTCCTGCAAGCAGTCTGCTTGATCTCCAACAGACACCTGCAAGGCAAGGTGCAGATTATTTCAAAGTGCATCACCTGCTGCTTCCCAACAATGTCCATTCTGCCTCCTCATGCACCAGCACATCATTCCAAGCAGCTGCTCCTGCCTCAGATCTCCTCACTCCCCACAAGCAGCCGCTACCATTGAGCCCTCCTTTTGGTGTTTCCCTTCCCAGTGCCCCTGTGGGAGATGCTGCAGATAGAGCAGTCGCTGCACCGTTGGAAGCAGGAGCGAGATGGTGGCGGTGTCCCCCATGGTTTGTGCCGCATGTCCCACCACCGCTGCTCGGAGGTCTGCTGCTGCAGGTTATCTCCCCAAGCTCCACGCCTCCCTCTCACCCCACTGCCACTCCCATGATATCACTGGGCTGGTTTGAGCAAGGATCTTTCTGCCCTATGATTGCCATTAATTCCACCACCGCAAACATCAGCCTGAGGTACCAGCCTCTATCAAGCAATCGATCTCTAATTGCCATACCCCTCAGTAAAAGAAAAAGCCCAAAAGGAAAGAAAAGAGGCATAAAGAAGCCAAGAGCTTCCCTCTGCCCATTGCAGATGGCTTGTGAGAAGCTTCAGATAGAAAATAACCCCCCTTAGCCCTGTGCTATATCCCTCTTGCAGAGGACTGAGCCAGGAATTCCGTGCGCGTAGAGCAACCACCAAACAGTCCCTACAAGTCTGCCGAGGACCATAGCTCACCGAGCGGCTGCTTGTTTACCTGCCACCCATTTCCATAGTGTGGGTGTGCAGCTGCATTCCTGGGAGCCCCGGCTGCTCCCCTCCTGCCCAACCTGTCCGTGGATGGGTAACGAAGCTCAAAGCCACCGTTTGGCAGCAGAGCTGCAGATGGACGATGCGATTGCTGCGGGGAAACGCTGCCAAGGATGCTCAGCGCTGTGCTAGGCTTGCTCAAGGAGCCAGCTCAGCAGCTGGGGTGTAAATCACAGTGGTGATATTGCTGCAGGTGGATGGATGCAACTTTACACCAGCTGAAGGTCTGAGCTGATGGCTGGAGATTGAGCTCTGGGGATGTGCAGCATAACAAAGCTGCCTTCCTCGCACAGAGTAGATGCCCCAGAAGAGGTGTCAGAGGAGTAGCTCAGCCTCAGTGCTCCAAATCCACTTCCACAGGAGCTCTCCTTATCCACTGGCCCTGGAAATACCACAGGGAAACCACCCTCCCCAGCTTACGTGTCTTATTAAGCAACACGGACGTGCCACACTCAGAGGTGGCTGCGCCAGCATAGCAGGGCCCAGCACTCATCGGGCAGCTCTTGGCCGAGCAGGATGTGCTGTCTGGGTCTTAGATATGTAGGCAACAACTTTTTACTGCTTTTTATTGGCACCGTGCTGATGGTGATCGAATGAAACTCTTGCTTTCAGAGCCCCTGCGTGCCGCTGCGGTCTGCAGGGATGTGGGGGAAGGCTGTCCCTGCCCAGCCTGGGCAGGGGAATCAGTGCCAGCGTTTTCCCAGGGGATGCTGAAAGAGCTGCACTTCAAAGGCTCAGGATGTGTCCATGTTGCCTTCGGCTCCACCAGCCCACGGCTCGAGGTGGAAGCTGCTTGTGTCAGCAGCTGAAGCCAGGAGGCAACCCGGGCTGAGCCAAGGGCTGATGGCCAGGATCAGCACCCAAGTCACCCAGCCTTTCCCTGCTGGTCCCCAACGCATCCCCAGTCACTGTAAAATGCCCCCAAGACACAGTCTGGGCCCACAGGTTTTCATCCTGCACTTACAAGTAGCCATTTATGTCAATTAGGACACGTTCCTTCCCCTCTCATGAGCTTTTTGGGCTGAGGGCTGTTGTGTGCCCTGGGCCATGCCACTCTAGTGAGATGCTTCTGCTGTCACATTTGATTCTTCTTTTTATCTTCTTCTCAGAAAGAGCCAAGTTATACAAAATGAAAAAATTCCCATCTTAATGGTGGATGCACTATTTAAATGGGTCTGTTTGCTAATGTGATTGACTTCAACCAACAGCACAGGTTGAACTGTAATTATGGGAAAACAATCAAATCTCTATCTGGGTTCACACCATACTGGTCTTGCCACTTTTTTTGTATTATAGCAGAACCTGTTGGGCAGCTTTAGTTAAGCTGAGCCTCCTTTCTGCTGCCGGGGCAAAGAAACGCAAACCAGTAGAGCCAGTCAGACTGCAAAGAAAAATTATGGCTTATTGTCTGTGCAAGTTCACCCACACTGCTCACTCCTGTCTCCCGTGTCCCAGATGACCGTCTCTTGATCACAACTTAACTGAGCCGGAGGAGTCAAGGGAGAGACACAGAAACAGTCCCACAATGTAAGTATTGTGCCTGCACTGATTTTTCTCTATCCCCTGGCAACTTGGGCAGTGTTACATAGCTGGGAAGGGAGCTGGCATGAGCCATGCATGGAGAATTGCCCAAAATCGGCACCTCAGCGTGCCGGGGAGAGCTGTCACTCGGCGCTGGCAGCCAGAGCCTGCTCCAGCTCTCATCTGATGGGCAGAGGCTGTCGTGTCACGGGTTTGCTTGCTTTTTTGTCCCCTCTCAGAGTTCATGGAGGAAATTTGGATTTTTCTAGCAGCTGGGGAGTTGGTGGCTTGTAAAGCGGAGGCTCTGCCTCTGTGGGCATGTGGGGTCGCCAGGGAGTGGAGCTGAGCCAGCCCAGGCTGCGTGGTCACTGCCCAGACAGGACCCCGGGGCTCTGCTCATTTCTAACAAAAACTTCTCCTCTGGCATTTTCCACTTGAGCATGAGAGGTAATGAGATATCACTGGAATCTGAAATGCAAAGAAACGGCATCCAGCTCTAGCTCAGTGTGCGCGGCTTGAAGCAGTTTGTGGGTGTCAGGGTTTATGTGAGTACTGGGGAGTCCAGTCACGTTTGCGTCTAGAGAGCAGGGACCAGAGGCAGCAAACACCAAAGGTTTTTCTCTGAGCAAACATCCAGGGTGCGCGACAGCCGTGGTGCAAGCAGAGCTGGGTCTGTGGCCGTGGTGGGATGCACAGCGGGCTGCACGCCGGGAGTGTGTGGGCAGGCAGCGCCGCTCGCCCGGGTGTTGGTGCCTGGAACCGGGGGGCATCATCACCCCCTTTCACTTCTGGCCCACCTCCTATGCAGCATTTCACGTAGAACTGGCCTGTGCCTAATCATGTGTATGTTTGGCAGTAAATAACTTTCAATGGAGTCATGGAGTTCCCTTCCCACCCTGTTTCCCACCCTAAATTGACTGCATTTCTGTTGACAGGGCTAACAAGAGATTTGCTCCCTTTTTCCCACAGGGACAGCTGGGTTGCAGTGACCCCCACTAGCTTGTTGAGGTGGTTGTCTATCCTTCCTCCCACTTCAAACCCTCTGTCCTCATCACATTCCCCATGGGACATCCTGCTAGTGCCCTCCAAGGGCAGGCAGATATGCTTCTGCAGGCAGTGTAAATATTCAGCAAATCCAGTTGCTTGCTGGGGCTTCCAGCAGCCCCAGGTATGAGGTGTGATGCTAGTGGGGGCTGCCATCCCTCTTCCCTACTTTAAATCCAGATTGAAGGAAGTGATGGTGGGATTGCTGCAGGGGGAAGCTGTGTCCACACACAATGCCTCCCACACAAGGATTTTGTTGCTGTGGGTTAGACTGTCCCCATCATCTGCTCCTTGTCCCCTCTGCTGGGATGATCCCATAATGGGGAATGCCCTGAAAGAACTTACAGGGGAGATGACCATAGATCCTCTCATAGTTTCAGTGGAGGACATGGGACACTGATGGCTGATATTGATTCAAAACCCAGCAAAGTGTTCCCAACTCCAGTGCATTTGGGATGAACAGAGGTGCCTCAGCCCATAAAAATGCCTGGCTGTGGCTGCCCTACTTGGGTGGCACAGTGTGGGGTTGAGCTGATAAGAGAGGACTCATCCGTAATCCTGCAGTGGGACTAAAGCCCAGGCAGAGCAGAGCTGCTCCGGAGAGGCTCAAGTCACCATTTGGTTTGGATCAGATGCAGGATAAAGGCAGCAGGGCTCTGTCCAGCAAGGTGAGGAAGCATGGTCCCATGCAGGTCTGTCGAAGCAGCAGATATTTCCCAAATATGGCATCTCCCACTGAGCTTCGCCCTCAATCCGCTCGGGTGCTAGCCCGCAATTACGCAGTGTGTTAGGGGCTGTGCTCGGGAGTCGACTAGCTGGCTGGACTGATGTATGGCTGTGAGGAAAGCAAAGCCATGCTGGATGGGTTTTTCTTCCAAATTAGAGGTGCTGGGCACTTTCTCTCTCCAGAAGCAGGGAGGTAAGTGCGACCTCCTACCTGTTTCAAAACAAGCTGCAGGAATCCCCAAAGGATGGAGATTTGGTGGAATCAGTCCTTGGCATCTTTTGTCAAAGCTTCTCTGGGGCTTTCAGAGGCAGCTCATTTGTTCCAGCTGCCCAACACCATGAGCACGTTCCCATACCACCTCAGCAACGGCAACCTGGCTACCAAACCTCTCCAGGAACCGATGCTGAGTCTGGGAAGAGAAAGCATCCACCCTTCCTGTCCTGTTTGTCGTCGACCTGGGGAGGCCCCAGCTGCATGACACCTGAAACCCTGTTATTGCTCAGATTGCCCAAAAGGAGCCTTGAAAGCAGAGAAGCAACATCCAGAGACATGCTCCATCACTACCTTAGAAGAGCCACTTGGGATGTACGGGGAAACCCAAAGCACAAGGTCTTGCCCAAGACTGGAGCAGCAAGCACGACTCGTATGAAGCAGGTCCCCCATGAATGAAAGGGCTCTTCACAGCCCCCCCAGGCTCCCCTCACCCCAAACCAGGAACCACTGTGGTCCCAGCAACTCGCAGCCACCAACGGCCGAGGGGACCATGCCCCGGTCAGGTGTCCTGTGGTTGGGTGGAGAGCTTGTTTTGCAGAATAACAGCAAACACAGTGATGTTGCTCTGGGTTTGCAAAGCATGCGGAGACTTTCCTGCAGCTCCTGTTATTATAAAAGAGAAATAGTTACTGACCACCAAGACTTCAGCCTTACATCAGTGGATAAAAGCCTGATGTGGTCTCACAGCCTTCTGAAAGCTGGGGCATCCCCCACTGGGGTATCCCCATTGGCAGGGGCTCCCAGACACCCAGGTCAGCTTTTGAACCTCACTATCAGTGGCTTTAAAGTGCCCTGGCCATGGGGATAGGGCCAGATCCAGCACCCCAGGGCCCTGCGAGCTCCCACGGAGAAGTGCCACAGGGTGTCCCACCCCCATCCAGCTGACCTGGTTCAACCAGTGAGGCCCGAACACCCAGGATGGGTTTGCAGGACTGAATCTTCCTAGCACATAACCCCTTTTTAAAATAGGGCTGAAGACAAAAAGCTGATTCAGTTAAAGACTTCATTATGTGCACCATATCCAGGGGAGAGAGATTTATTCTTTTCAGTTGCCTGTCCATTCGCCCGATTCAGGATGCCCACACACCCCCTAACACAGCAGGAGCAGAGGTGCCAGTTTATGTGAGCATGGTTACAATGGGTCTTCATGCCCCTTGCCCCACGCAAGACCTGCTTGCCCATGAAGGACCAGGAACGATGGATTCTCCATCTGTCAGGAGCAGTGTGGGCTCCGAGGCATGCTGCTGTCGAGGTCTCCTGCCATGGAGGAGAAGACAGCAAAACCAAGATGCTCTCCAGGCACCGTGTGCAGCCTAACGGGATCACAAGCGAAGTGTGAGGTGATACCACCGTCTATCAGAGCTTCCCAGGGTATTTATCACCCACTTTCCCCAGACAAGGGCTCTGGGGATGGGGGAGGCAGCAGGAGTGTGTTGGCTGGGCTGGGAGGAGGCGGCGGCCACGTGCCTCCGCTCCCCGACGGGGCCTTGAGCTATTCCCTCAGCCTCACCGCTTCTCAATTAAAACACCTGAAAAATGCGATAATGCTTCATTACCCACTTCCCTGAGCATTTTGAGGTGTTAATTAACTAATGTTTATAGAAGCTGTGGTTACCCCAAGATGTTCTGGCAGATACGTGGCTACTTTTAATCAACTTCCGAATCCTCACGCGGGCACACAGACCTGCAAGTGGATCCAGCCAAAGCCCATCGTGCTCTGGGGAGCATCGTGGCATGGCCGGTGGGTCCCAACACAAGTGTCCTGCTCCAAGAGGGCACCAGGACAAATATTTACTGCCAAATTTCAGCAAAGCAGCAGGGAGCTGTTTGTCAAAGGAACTGGGGAACAGGAGGACAAAGCTTGCCTGCCCAACTGGGTACACTGCAAGAACAGACCCCTTAACGGCTCACCTCACTACGTAAAAGCCAAACACCAGTTCCTGGATATATTCAGGTATTGCAGAGGATCAACTTCTCCCTCCTTAGTGATCCTGCAACACGGAGGCAGCAAAGGCTCTGTTCTGGGAGAAGGGATGTCCCTGTGCTCAGGGAATACAGGCATACCCACCAGGTAGGGGCTTTCAAGCAGAAATGAGGTAATGGAAGAAAATCCTCATTGCTTTGGTGATTATCACAGCGGTTAGAGAAGCAGAAGCTTCCCCCAAAGACTGAGGGTTGTGGGGGAAAAGCTGAGCTGCTGGTTTTGTGATAGCCGGGGATGCTCTCTATTATGGCAACACGCTTTATAGGGTTGAAGTAAATAGGTATGCAGGTTGGGACTTGAGGCTGGAGCTTCATCTTGGAGGATTCACTCTTGTTCTCCTCTCCCTGCAACGGGGCACGTCTGTGCACACGTGAGCAGGGGCAGCATCTCCCTGGCTCTGCTGGTCCTGTTCAGCTTGTTCAGGGTGACCAGGGGGACCCACACTGATCCTCAGCAAACCCAAAGGACCCTTGTGACAGCTCGTTGCCCTGCTGCAGCCCTGCACCACGCGGGTGGGATCCCCATCCTTAGCAGAGGCGACCCTGGAGCAGGGTTATCTGCAGCAAGGGCTCGCTGCAAACCGGCCCCCAAGCTGGTGGAGCAGCACAGAGCAGCTGCCCTGCTTCGGGGAGGATTTTCGGGTTGTGTAAAGTGGAGGAAGGCACCTTACCCTCCTCCCCAGCGAGGAAAGAGCCAAAGCTGCTCCTCCTGTCTCACCCGTCGGGGGGTAATTTTGCAATCTGCCAACCCCTATTCAACACCCGTGCGCAAAACTGAACTGGTGGAGAGCAAGAGCTGGGCTCCATTTTAGGACAACCTGTGCCTCATTAAGTCATACAAATAAATAAATACCCAACAAAAAAAACAAACAAACAACAAAAAAAAAAAACTAACACATAGAGAAAACTCTCTCCAATCTGCCAAGTACACAGCAAAATGGATCAGCTTCATGCTGGCCTGCAAAATACTCCTGGCACTGCAGATTTTCCATGAGTGATCCAGCAGCTTTTCTGGGTATAAATTCAATTTATAATTCTAAAATTAGACCAGGAACATAGTAGGGTTGCCAAGAAAAGAAAGTTTGGCTGGTGAAAGCAGCCCTGCCCGGCAATCGCCCAGCGAAAGGTATATTACATAAATCCAGCCTGAAGCTGAACAACTCCAACGTTGCTGATGGGGAGATATCTGGTTGTAAATCCAGTAAGCTTCACTGATCTGACGGTGTCAGAACTTTAGAGTCCTGTCATTTTTCTTTTTTTTTTTTTAGCATCTTAAGCTTATTTACCTATTGAGCTGCTTTATTGTTCTGAAAGGAAACACTGCTGAAGGTGAGGATGTGCCATGGCTCGATGCAAGCGTGGCTGGCAACACCGGGGATGGTAATGAGAGGCCAGAAACCCCCCAGGGACCAGGGAATGGGGGACAGTTGTGCCGTCAGAGCTGGATGTCCAAGTCCATCCTTTCCCAAGCCCCCTGGCATGGGCTAGGAAGTAACCTTCCTGCCTCTTTTCCTTTCCCCAGCCACAGTCAGGAGCATCCCGCCCCGAGGAGCGATGCCATCGGTACCCAGGCGATGCTGGAGGCTGAACCAGTCCCATGAATGAGAGCTGCCGTGCCAGGGACCCTGCGCCCCAACCTGGACCCCCTGTCCCACCCTGAGCTGAGCATCGGGGGACACAGAGAGCAGGTGAGCAAAGCCACAGCCATCGGCAACAGCCCTACTGCAGGTGCCTGGGCTTTCCAAACCCGCCGGATTTAGGGGCTGGATGAGGACTTTGCCTTTGGTCCCCAACACTGAGGCTCTGTTTGTAGAGGGCACCTGTCACTTTGAAATACACCCGGCTCCACCGGCACGCCAAGGGGCTGCTCCCAGCCCTGCCACGGGGTCGCATCCAGCACTGCTGGGTGTATATTACAGTGACAGGTCTGGAAAGGGCTCAGGGCTGTAAATGAAATCCCTGTCTCAGGGAGCGAGCTCCACACTGAAGGACTCTGTGGTCTGGTCTTCATCAATAAATCTCCCTCAATAAATCCTCCTGAGTGGAGTGGAGGAGCAGGGGGCTGCAGCTTCATGCCTTGGCCAGTCTACACCAGGTGAGAAGGGAGCAAAGCTGAACCCCTTGGAGAGCCTGAGCTGTCTGCAAGGTTGTTCTGCTGCAGCAAAAGGCCAAATCCTCGGTACAGATACACAGGGGGTTGATGCTCATGCAACATCTCTGTAATCATGTGTGTGCACAGACCAGAGACCCAAAGTCCTCCCCAGGTTTGCTGCAGAGTGGCAGTCCCATCTGCAGGCAGGGATGGATGCTGGCATCTCAAAACCCACCAGAAATGGCAATAGCTGTTCTGGTCACTGATCAGATCCCCAGCAGGTCGCAGATCTCTGCTGATCTGTGGGCTCTGAGGAGAGAAAAAAAAAAAAAACTATCAGGAGTGAGTGAGCCCCAACCCTGGTGGCAGCACAGCTGCAGCCGTGCACAGGAGGCAAAGCTGCTCCCCACGCCCCAGCCCCAAATCCTGATCTGCCCGGCTCTGCCCGCAGCGCTGACTCACAGCAGCAGCAGCAGGGATCCGGATCCGGCGCTGAGCACCTGGGCTGCCCCCGCACCCTCCGCCTCCAGCCACATCCAAGCCCAGCCCTGCCTCCCTGAACCGCGGGCTGGCACGAGCCCCAGCCTGGATGTCACCTTCCCGGGATGTCCCAGCTTCCCTGTGGCCTGAAATGTCGGGTGCTGTTCAGCCCTCTGAGACCCCAGCCTTGGGGAGAGGGCAGCACCGAGGTGGGCAGGGGCTGATCCGGCACCGGCCAGTATTATAGGAAGCCCACGAGGCCGCCGCCAGCTCTGCTACCAGTTGCAATTCCTTCCCAGTTTACAGCACTGGGAAATGCAATGGGAATTAGTGCCTGAGCACTTCAAATCCTTCACAGCCGGCACTCAGGGTTTCAGCCCCATGACGGCAGCGGTGGGTCTCACAACCTCCCTTCAGCCCTGGGGGGGTGCTTCGCCCAGGGCAGAGCCAGATTTAGGACTCAGCGATCCTGGGAAGTGCTTCCTGTTAACATCAGGGGTCTGGGTTTTTTCCTTTCTGGAGTAGATCTGGGTATTATTTCTCCTGGCTCATTATTCAACTGTGGCTCTTAGGGATAAGTAGCAAAGATTGGTTCCCAATCCCATTCCACGGCAGCAGATCCTGAGCTGCACGAGCCACGACAAGACATGCTGTGCCTCGCGTGGCTTTTACTTGCTGGGAGAGGTCACCCAGCCCTGAGAAAGGGTGGGTTCTGCCCAGAGAAGTGGGAGCAATGAGTATTTTTTAAATTGTTTCCCTGGAGATTGGGATCTCTGCTCCGTTTGTACCAGATTTGCTCAGAAGGCTCACGAAGTGACTCTGAGACGGTTTGTGCTTAGGCAGCCGTTTCGCTGATCCAAGCATGCTAAGAGCAAGCAAGCCGAGCTCGCTGCTTGTGCTCGTTGGCGCGTGCCTCATTTCTTTTGAAAATCAGACGCTTTAGGGGAAAGTTTCTTCTTCCAGCTCTGCGTGCCCACATCTTGCATATGCAGGTGATCCGGCACACCTCTGCTCTGCATGCAGATAAAGGCACAGGCGGGCTGCAGGCGGGAGCCGGGCTGGGAGCGTGCTGGAGCCCAGCAGAAACCTCCCCGTGCCGCCGTGGGGTTGCAAAACCCGGGTCCCAGCCCAGTCTTTCACCTCCGAACCACAGAGGAGAGGTTTTCTCCCTGGTCATCTCTGTATGGTTGAAGGCTGAGTGCCCAGGTGCTTTATTGGGAATGGGATTACTGGCTGTGACTCAGTAACCCAGCATGACTTTTAGGGGAGAAGCTCCTGTCTGGTGATGCTGAATGTCCACATATGGAAGTGCCATTTCTCCCAGCGTGGTTTTGGTGGTCCTGGAAGACACCCCAGGGTGGGCAGAGCTTTGCTGACCTGCTTAGGGGAGGGGCAGCGAGGTTGTACACCCCTCCTGCCCAAAGCCCAGGGGATCCTCCACGATACTCTCTACAGGGGTGCTCAGACACATATCCCTCCCCGGTACTATCATGGTCCAGGAGGGTCCTGGCCACCCAGCTGTTTCAGGGGACATGAGACTCCCTGAAGCTTTGGCTCATGGAAGGGAAAGAGTTTACCCAACATCAGAATCCCAGTGAGGAATGAGGTCATGACTGACGTAATGAGCTTTCTAATCTCCAAAGTTTCTGCTTTCCACCCCTGCTATTAATCTCAAAACCTATGGGATTAGGGCAAAAATTCTTAAAAATTCTTAAAATTAGGGCAATTCTTAAAAAACAGCTGTTTTATTTTCAGGCTATTTGTTTACCCCCTGGTTTTCCCGTCTTACTGAGCTGGGGGTGTCAGGGGTTGTTCTCCATCTCTCCTGTTGTTTGGGGGTGGTTTCAACCAAAAAAGGAAAAAGCAAGGTTTTTTGAGGATGCAGAGCATTTTATCTGTTCTAGGCAATTATTGAACACTACAGCTAGCACTAAGTGATGGCACTGAGAATGATGGAGCATTAAGAACCCCATAACATCAACGGGGACACTTGAGGCAGGGGCAGGCGGAGCAGAGACCTGAGCCTGGGGCAGGACCTGGGACGGTGCCCCAGCTCCCATCCAACCCCCCCAGCACTGTGTCCACACTGGTTCTCCACCCACCAGGCTTCCTGCAGGGCTCATCCCTGCGCAACACTTCTCCAAGGTTTCTCTGTAAAACGGGGTGAATAACACTCAGTTTGGTGTCTCCCAAGGGTTCGAAGAGGCTGCAGCCAGCGAGGCCAGGCGGGGAGCCTGGGTGATGACAGCGGGGCCTCCACAGAAGCTGTGCATGGTGCCAGAGGGAGGAGGGGTGCACGGAAGCATCTCGGGACCCGGCAGGAGATGAGTCCATCAGGCTCAAACACCAAAGCTGCCACGAGTTTTCCCTCCATCAGTCCCCAGGAATGTGGTCCCGACATGAGCCCTGCAATCCCTTCCTCAAGAAGATGCCCTGCCCTGCCTCATCCCAGAAAAAATGCAATTTAAACAGCTCAAAAAGTAGAGGAAAAGCCCAATTTTTCAGCTGGGCTTTCAGTGCTCTTCCTCTTTGGCCACGCCTCCAGCTTGGGGCTGAGATAGGGTAGACAAGTCTGAAAATGCATCCCCAGATGAGCCTGCTGCTTTATGCGTGTGCATGGTTTAGCAAATGACTTCACTTTCTAGATTTGGGCTTTGCCCTGTTTCTATGACTTCACAAACCATCACATACACAAGATACTTCTCTTTTATTGGACTTTTTGTTTCTATTTTAGGCTGAAACCTGAGTAATTTGAAACGAAAGGACATCCTTGCACTGAAAGCAGCCTGGCGTGTGGCACAGCCCTGAACATGACCACGGAGAGTTTTGCAGAGTTCCTGAATAAGCTCAAGGAAATCCATGAGAAAGAGGTCCAAGGTAAGGAGACATGAGAAGTCTTATTAAAAACTAGCTAAGGTCCATTTCTTTGTAATGCCACCTTGATCTGTTCGGTTTCAAATAACCTGGAGGGAGAAGGAGCAGGTGTGGATTAGGGAGCTTGGGGAATTAGGGCTCAGCAAGCATCACCCACAGGGATGGATGGGGGCACAGGGTCACAGCCAGGCCCTCAGGAGAGCACACCCTCTAATGCCACCTTAGTGTCTCTCATTGGTGGAGAAGGAGGTTTACTGAGAAAATCAGTAATTTTTTGGATGATGAGGAGGAGCAGAAGAGAGAGGGTGTTCCTGGAGACCAAGCCACGGAGGTGCTCAGTCCCTGCAGGAATCCCACTTGCTCCAAGTATCAAGCACACTGGTTTTGGCTCCTTTCCTACTCCTGCTGCTATGGTCTGTGATAAAGGTGATTTGGGAGGTTTGCAGAAGTGACTTGCACACCTGCTGGGCATCTTCTCCTAGCAACAGGGATTGAAGTGTATTTGGATACTGAGGGATCAAAGGGAAAGTGGAAAGATGCAATAATTTATCAGACAGAAGCAGCAGGAATATGAGACTGTTAAAGAAAACCTTAGAGTCAGGTTGGATAGTTTATTTCTCTAGGGAATAAATTGTTCCTCAGGTCATACATTATTAAAATAAGAACCACTAGGTTAAGCAACCAAATGCCAAATCCAATTGTTTTCCTATTAGAATAATTCCCAATATCAATATTATGAACATAACAGTGCTTTTGGATGATTCTGGCTTATGAATTCATTCTTCTCTTGTGTAATTTCAAACCATGTGAGAGTTAGAGGAAACTGTTGAGCAATTTAAACCACATGTTTACAGCTACTTTGCATAAAATGGATTTGACAAGATGTAATGTCTGCAGATCCATCAACGAAAGCCATTCTTGTTCAGCTGTAAATATCCTCCAAGATTCTCTGCAGCCCTGAGAGTTATAAAATACTGCCCACCTGGGAAATGCATGCTGTAATGAGAAATAAGTAGAAACAAAACTGGAACAGACTTTTTGAGGGTGGGAGAGAAATGAAGACTTATTAAATAGTGGAAATACAAAATGTGCTCACATTTTGTACAACTTTTCCAGCTATATTAAACTGTGATATTGTTTAGCACAAGCAATGTGTTATTCCCTCTCAGAAATAAGGTTTGTAAATCGATGAGGTTTCTGCAAATCCAGGCACCCTCTTGAAGTTCCATCATTGCATTTTGTTTCTGAATGTCCGGGAATTGGCAATAAATACCCATCTCTCCCCCTCTGTTAATTATTCCAGGCCTGCAAAGCAAGCTGACGGAGCTGACGACGGAGAAGTGCCGGTGAGCAATGCGCCTCTGCTCTGCCCGCGCCGCGGAGGGGAGGTTACGCTGCTTCGTTTTCAGACCTCCTGGGCACTCATCCGAGGCCACCTGATTTAGAGAACACCGTTTGCCTTTCCAGCTCTGCCAAACTCAAACCCCTTGGTTACTTTCGCCATGCAAGTCCGCAGCACGGGCAGGGCTTGGGGTGATCCCAGCCCACCTCCAGTTTGCCTTTCCACCAGTAAGCGATGCTCGTGCCAGTGGGCGCTTGCTCTCCTGGGAAGCAATAAACTGACACGTAGCAAGCTGCTAACTCCAAGGGCAGCATCTGGGCTCTAAAACATTTTTTTTTTCCCTCCTGCCACACAAGCAAAAGCAATTCAGCCATACGGGTGTGAGCAGCACAGCGGGTTCAGGGCAGAAATCCTTCCCCTTGACAGGGTGCTGAGTATAAAGACACAGATTTCAGGGAGAAATCTAATAACGCTCTTTTCTTTGTTCTGTTTCTTCGATTAGTGATGCTCAGAGAATTGAAGAGTTGTTTGCTAAAAATCATCAATTAAGGGAACAACAGAAGGTCCTTAAAGAAAATGTAAAGGTGTTAGAAAACAGGTAAGATTATTTTTCAACAGGGTGCTGCTCAGTGGCAGTGAGTGCACCCTCCTAGGGGGAGAGTTTGGGATTTGCTGTCTTCCCAGAAGTGGGATGTAGCACATGAACCACTTTTTCGCTCATACTTGGCTGCTGGGAGAGCTGGGGGAGCCCAGGCACGTGCAGAGGAGCTTTCCTAAACTGATGGTGGTGGAACGGGGCCTGGGGGGTATGGAAGGGCCAGGGCTGGGCTGCACGGGTGATAACCGCTCTCACCAATTCTGGGTAACACTCTGGGTGTTCATGCTTCTCCGTGGAAAGAGCAGGATCTTATTTCCCCCATGGGAACTGTGTGGTAACAAGCCGGTCGTGGGTTTTCCTCCAGGCTGCGAGCAGGTCTCTGTGACAGATGCATGGTCACCCAGGAGCTGGCAAAAAAGAAGCAGAATGAGTATGAGACCTCTCATTTCCAGAGTCTGCAGCACATCTTCATCCTCAGTACGTACCACTGCCTGCTGTAAACTCAGCTTTGGCTCTCTGACTCCTTGTTCAGTTAATGCCTCTCCCAGATATTTGCACGTGAGTCCCCCCCGGTGACTGGGCACCCAGGAGGGGTTTTGAGGATGGAGAGAAGGGAGGGAGTCAGTGAGAATGTGGAGGCTTTGAAAAATCAGCTCTGAGCAGGACTGCAGATGGCAGCCCATGTCCCCCCCCAAGCAGAGGTAACCGCTCACACAAAGCAGCAGAGCTGGGGGTTTGCAGCCCTCTGCACCTCCAGAAAAATGAGAGATCCTCACACCGAGAGCAGCCCTGAGCTGGCCAGGCCATGTCAGCTGCCTGGGAAGAAAAAAAAAAAAAAAAAAGAGATGCATTTGGCACTGCTGTAGCAACACTCTGGCAGAAACAGGAAAGTCACAGCAGCAGTTCAGCACGGGTAAATGAAAATCAAGCAACACGTGTGATGGATCTTCTCCTAAGCCTTTGGCAGAGCTCCCAGCACCGCTCTGGCTGGGGGTGTTTTTCCCTGGGGACCTGGCTGGCTCAGAGAGGGCCATGGGGGTAAAGGAGATAAGGCATTTCGGAGGGATGGAGAGGTGCCAGCAGCCCTTGGTTTATCTCCCCTGTTACGTCATTGCTGCCCAAGTGCTGCATTCAAGCAGGAGCAAGCCGAGGCAGCTGCCCACCCTGCCCAGGAGCCTGCCTGTTCTCGCTCGCTGCCTCTTCGCTGTTGCACCTGACTGCTGGGTGCTCACAGCTCCCTCTGGCCTTCACCTGCTCCCCCCCAGGCCCCCCCGCCCTCCCCCCAACACAGCACCCACTCGTCGGAGACGGCCGTGCTCTCACAGGCAGGATGCTGGCTGTGTCCATCCCACCGGGCCACAGCCACCACCCTGTCTGGGTCATGCCCTCCCCTGCGAGCTGGATGGGCTGCAAGCAGACCCCAATCCTGACCAAACCAGAGTCAGAAAGTTGCTCCCTTTTACCCCTTCACCCCCAACGTCTTTTCATAGAAGGAAATCCAGCATCCCTCCGAAACCTTTTGTGCCATTCCCTCCTCCTGCGTGCACCCAGCAAGCCGTGAGGAGCATCAGCTCTTTCCTTGCGACACCTGAATCCATGGCACAACTTGTGTCCCTGCAGCTAACGAGACAAACCGCCTGAGGGAAGAGAACAAAACTCTCAAGGAAGAACTGAAGAGGCTCCGGAGCCTGGAGTAAGTCCTCTCCCAGGTTTCATTCATCACAAGGGGTGTTGGTAAGGACAGAGGCATCCCCATCGCTGAGTAGGGCTGTGTCCAGACCGTGGCATCCTCAGGGGTATTTCAGCATCTAATTCCTACAGATTCCTGTAGATGTTAAACAGCAAAACACCCGTAATGGTCTCTATGTCCTTGTTGACTTTTGCTCACTCCTCTATTCACCTGCATCCAAGGATTCAGTTTTTGAGGAACAAGGCTATTCATCACCCCACTATGGGGGACTGTTCATGAGAAGCAAAGCCCTGGGCTGCTCGCCTTCGTCACGGACCTTCACCTGGGCTTCTATGGCTTTTCCATGGCACCAGCTCCCCTCCTGCAGCAGCCAGCAAGGGTCTGTAGGAAGCAGGTTGTGTTTTGGGGGAAGGAGAGTGACACCCAAGGGACTGAGGTGGGGTTAAGAAGGAAAAATGATCTGCACCAACAGGTTCACATCCCAGCAGAGCACTCTGCTGAAAGCCAAGTAACCTGCCAGGCTGGCCAATATATACAAATCAGCTCATTCCTCAAGGGTTTAAGGTCCAGAGGAATTAGCACTGAGGGATTAGTTTAGAAATGTGTTTTCTTTGGAGCACAGAAACACCATCCACTTAAAGAGAAACTCTTGATTTTACTCCCTGATGATTCCCAAGGCCTAAGGAATTTCAGAGCTGTAGGCTGGGCTGTTTGCTGAGCACCAAGTGCTCCTGCTCTGCTCTTCCCTGGGCTGCTGGATAGGGAGATTTCCAGCCAAACACCCATGTCTCAGCATTAGGGTCCAGCCAGGACTTTGTCCATGACATAAGTGTGGATCTCCAAAACTCAGTGATTTCCTCCTAGTGACCAAGAGCATCAGCCCCACCAGCTCGATAAGGTGAAGGGCAAGAGTCACCACATCCCCTTGCTGAATCTACCCCTAAATCAGGCTGAAAGCCCAGCCAGAGATGTACAGGTTCTCACAGAGCTTTTGCAATAGCCACAGTTGGGTTTTGGCTTACCCAACGTTGTGGCTTCGTGCGACGTTACCCACAGCCAAGTGGGGAAACCAGACCTTGAGCTGTCATGTTGGCTCTGTCCCATGCTCCAGCCTGCAGCTGAGCTACTGATAAGCTGCAATGGAAGGAGGTGAGCCTGAGAATCCAGTATATCCACATATAGATATATATATATATATAAATATGTATATTTATATATCGGGCTCTATAACTCAGAGCTCCTAGTACGGTGGCTCTCAAACCTTCCCTTTCCTACCCTTTCTCATTCATTTGTGTCCTTCTTCTTTCAACAGGGACAGAACAAAGCAACCAGGAGTCACCTCCAGAGAAAGCAGCTCCACTCCCAGCTCCCCCTTGGCTTTACTGGCCTCAGTGAGCAGGAACACTGGCACCGAGAAAGCAGCTCACAGAGGAGCAGAAGCCCACCATGATGTGCCAGGCCTCGAGCTGGGAGAAGGTGGGTGCTGCTGACTCCCACCACCCTTGAAGGACCTGGGGATGGGGAGAGTGACTGAGAGCCCCAGTGCAAAGCTGCTCTGGGAAAGGGTCTGGAGAGCAAAGACCAGGCTGTTTTCAGCTCAGATGGACATTGTCATGGGCAGAATAGCCGCTGGGGGGGAGGGGGGGAAATGCATGTGAAGGGAGAAACACACTGCTTCGAGTTAGAGCAAAAGAGTGCTTGGGTGTCCTCACTGTAAGACGAGTGCTGTGCAGGTGTGGACCCACCACCCATTTCAGGCAGGCACCATGTCCTTGCCTTGCTGCCACCCACACATGCGATGGAGGGTACGTTCAGTCAGGTGCTGGCTTGAGCCAGACATAAATTTTGGCTTGAAATCTTCAATAGGACATGGTTGGTTCCAGCCAGTGGCATCCTTGGGAGGCTGTGAGACTCCAGCACGCTGCAAGGCAGGGCAGCCTGCAACAGCTCTGTGGGACCATCATGGTGACTGGTTGTGTCTTTTTTTTGCAGAAAAACCCGCAGGACAGAGAAGCTCTCCAACCAGTAGGACTTCCCCAGGCACTGTCCTCCAAGAAGTCAGCCTCGCAGAAATGGTGAGTTGCCAGAGGTAGCCTAATGCCCTCAGACCTTCTCCCCACCCTGTGATCATCTGAACTGGATCAAGAGAGGTAGATTGGGATAGGGAAAGAGTAGGAGGCACTTAGGGGTAAAGCAATTACCCAGACTTGAGCAGTTTACCATTGCCAGAGCCAAGGAGGGAACCTACAAAATGCCAAATGCATCCTCTCTGCAGAAATTGCCACTCACTGCAAGCAAAGCATTTGGATTTTGGCACAGGGTCCTGTCCCTGCTGTGAGCGTACATGTCTTTGTTTGCTCCTGTGTTTATCCTCCATGACAACATGTCTAGCATCCTTGAGTCCTCTGCCCGTTGCTCTGGTTCCTCTCTTAGATGTCTTGCTGGAGAAATCTGTGAGGAGTGAAGGACCTGAGGAGATTGTGCTGAGCCACATTTCAGTGTAGCTTATCCTGAGTTATAGAGTCAGCTCTCCATTATCTGGGCAAACAAGAAGCTGGAGCATTGTGATTGTTGGAGAAGCCTGGAGAACATGTAAACTGTGGGAGTTGTGGGTACTGAGAACAAATACACCACAGCAGCCCTGCCCAAGAGCATCGCAGATGTGTCTCCATCTGCAGCATAATGAATACTGGTATTTTCAGAGGGCCTGACATTCAGTGGTTGCTATTTTGTGCATTGATGCAAGCCTGCCATGCCTTTAAAACACAGGGAGTATGTGTCAGCTGAAGGATGTTGAGTGATATGGTGATACTGGTCACTGGGAGATGAGACTGCAGGACCTGGAGCTCTGTTCTTGGTCATGGGAACTCAAGCCCACATACACACCCACATAGATGCTTCTGTTTTGGCACAGGCTTTGCTTACCTGAACTCCACAGAAAACTTGAAAGAGCAGGTGAAAAGGGGTTTTGGTAAGGCTGCAGGCAGACTGTGAGGATAATTAATAGGGATCGCAGGAAGGGTTGGTGACATCTCCAGGTGGGCAGGGGAAAGTCAAGTCAGAACATGTGGTGAGCCTTTCATGACAGCAGATAGAGATGATGATGTCCTGGCCTCACAGCCAGGCACTCCACTGGAAATACACCCACCAAATCAGCGCATGCCAGGAGCTTGAAAGAATAAAGTCTAGTGGCCTGACTAGGGGTCAGGGAATTTGCAGGGTCTTATCTTGGTTAAGCCACTGAATCATGGCTTGACTTGAGAGGAGGCACAAGACCTGCTGGGCTACAAATCAGCGCAGCCGTTAATAAAGAAAATAAAGAGTACTGTAGATCCTGATAGAAAACATGAAAGGGAAATTTCCTGGGAAAACCAATAAAACTATGGTTGAGCTGTATCGAACAGAGCCCTTAGGAGGTGTCTGTCTTGCTCGCGCTGGTGAAGGGCTGCGTCTGTGCTCGGCGGGGTTCCCCTTAACCGCATGCTGCCCGGGGTGCACGGCAAAACGGCTGATCTGGACTTTCTCCCCTCTGCCACAGGCATCACAGAGGGTCGCCAACCAGCTGCATGGTACCATTGCACTGGTGAGACCTGGCTCCAGACCCTGCCTCCTGGAAAAAAGCCCTTCGGGAGCAGAAGGGTCCCCACCGGCAAGGAAGACTGCTCTCCCGGAGCACCCCAGCCTTGAGGCGTGAGTTACCTGCTCGTGGGTCATGGTGTGGGCCTGATCCATGGCCCCTTGCAGCTGTCCCACAGGGCAGACTCCGATGAGATGGTCGGTATCTGCTGTATCTGCCCACCTTCTTCTTCAGACTTCTCCCACAGCTTTGGGGGGTGTGGGGTGTCTTCCAATTTACAGCAGCAAAAAATGACTGGAATCCAGCTTGATGAGGTCAGCCTCTGGTTACTTCAGCTTCCTCAGACAGACCCATAAAGCGAACTGGGTGCCCCCACCTCCAGCTGGGAGGGAGGCAGCAGTCCCTGCTCCTTCTTATCTGTTCTAATGGGCTTTTCTGCAGGGCTCAGCACTTCTCTGGGCTTATCCTCCCCATTGATTTCAGAAGCACAGAGGGCTGAGAAAAGCCAGTGACTTCACCTGCAGAGACAGCACGTTTACCTGAGTGGGAGTAAGATCTGCCGAGCATTCCCAGGAAAAGCTCGCATTTGCAGAAGTTGCCAAATAACCAGCAATAGCAGGGACTCAGTTTGCAGAGCAGGTTCATGCACCATACCAACCTTCTTAACGTGGCTGTAAAAATCTCCCATTGAGTGAGATTAGGGGAGGGTGGGCTGCTCCTCTGTCCTGCAGCTCTTCAGGCCCACCAAGGCACTAAGAAAGCCCAGTTGGGGGTATTTAGGATGCTTCTGGCTAGAATGTATGGTTTGACAAGTGACTTCTCGGCACCAGTGCTCACGTGAGCCATCACGGCATCCTCCCCACTCGCTCAGCCCCCTGCCTGGAGCTGCCATGTCCCAGGGACAGGAGAGCACTGTTGGGTGGTGGGATGGTGATGGCTTCATGCAGTGTGTGCACCGCAGAGAGCCGCTGCCTGACCCCCGTGGCCATCGAGACCCTCCTCCGCAGCACAGCACCCGAAGGCAAGCACAATGCACTGGCCAAGAGCTGCAGCAGGGCACTGAAAGAGCAGGAGAGACCACACACATCAGCTGCAGGAGCTGGGAAATCACGTGAAAATTCTCTAATTAATGTGATTGGTTTTTTTCCTGCTTCTTTTAGTTATTTAGCAGCAAGCAAACTGGATTCCCCCAAGGTTTCTCCATCCTATGAAAACCTAAAACTGACCGCTCGGAGAGAGCAGCTCTGTCTCCTCCACAAGCACCTTTCCCTGCACCAGCTGGGGCTGGCGAACAACTGCGCCTCAGCCGACCGGGATGGCAGCAGCTTCCCCAGCCATTTGCTCAGGGCCAAAGATGCCGAGAGCAGGACGCGGTCGCGTGATGCCTGGGAAGATCACGCAGCCTTGCTGAAGCTGCCTGCCACCATGGTGTACGTGAGGGATCAGCACCTGGAGGAGAAGCTGCACCTCCTCAAGCACAGGGAGAGGCTGCAGCATTTCCTCATGCAGCAGTGCCAGCCAGGCCAGCGGGCAGATGGAGAGCCAAAGCCCGTGCCCGAGGAGCGGCCCCTCTCCCCATGGCCGAGCATCACACCAGGATGCAAGGAGGAAAGGTCCTTCCTGGAGGATGCTGCAGATGGGAAGGAAGAGAAGGGGCTTTGGCTGAGCCGAGACAGCTCCGAACTCCGAGAAAAGGCAAAGGTGACAAGGGACGATGGTGCAGACGCGCCTCTGGATCTGTCAGACTCTGGCCGTGGCAGGGAAACAGGCTGGCACAACCGCCGGGAGCCGTGGGGGGCCAACAGCCCCCAGCTGAGCCCTGGGGAGAGCCCTGCTGTGCCAGCAGCCCCCGGCCCCTGCAAGAGACACGGGACAGAGCAGGACGACTTGCACTTCCCCTACCACTGGCCCAATGCTGCCCGGGCACTGCCTGGTGCTGTTGAGGAGGAGGAGGAAGACGAGGAGGATGGAGCTGTGGTGAGTACAGCTTCTGTTGGCATCAGCTGTGGCCCCTGCCCCTTCCCAGTGTGTCCAGCACTGGTGATGGCACTGTTACGACCACCACTAGTGACCTGTGGGAGGATGGCTTTGCTGCCTGTGAAGCCAATGGGGACACATTTGCACATGGCAAAGCCACAGCTGTTCAGCCCTGGCTCTTGTTTCCCACCTCCCCTCCTTCCAGAGCCCACAGGTTTTCCATCCAGGTCTAAGGACCAATGTGCAGCAGTGCCTGTGCCAAGTCCTGCAGGTTGGTGCTGGAGGAGTGCTGGGCTCCCCTGCAACACACCACCAGTGCATAGAAATGCCTCTGCGATGCTCGTCCCCGGGGGTGTCACAGTCATCGTGTAGGGGCTGGGCACAGTCCTTTCCTCCTGCCTGGCAAAATCAGCACTTGTGCTCCCTGTATTCCACAGCTCGCGCTTTCACGGGTACATCCGACAAATAACTCCACGCCGAGCAACCCAGAGACCCTGCCAGAGACCGGGGTGAGACTGGATGTCATTACACAGAAGGGAGAAGCAGGTAAAAAGCTCCAGTGAAATGTGACACTGGGGAAGGCAAGAGTAAAAGGTGCATCTTGGTGAAGGTATCTTAGAGCTGGGAGCTCTCTGTGCTGGGCTCTGCACACACCTGCAATCCCCACTGACCAAAGCAGCACGGGACACCTTTCCAGGGACCCAGGTGCTTCTGGATCCCAGCTCTTTTGAGCCATCAAGGGAACTTCAGGTTTCATATTTCTGTCCTTGAGGGCTCAATTTTTAACCCTAGGGGTGCCCAAAACTCAGACTCAGTGACTACAGGGAGAAAAAAAACCTTGACTTCTGGAGAAGAGCCCAGTATCTCTGCCCAGCACAGGCCAGCAGTCACCCGTGGGGTGCCCTTGCACACCCTGCAGAGCACCCTGCACTCAGCTGCTGGGTGGCACAGAGCTCTCTAGGAGCTAAAGAGGTCAGTTTAGCACTGACCCATTGGCAAAACCCACTCCACAGTGAGCCATGACAAGACAACACTGCTGCTCCAGCATTACCCACCCCTCTCAGGGAAGCAGAAGCTCAGAAGTTGCCCCAGCAGAGATGGGGGGAATGCAAGAGGTTTGCAGGACAAGCACTGAAAAAAACATCCCTGTTCGTGCCCCCTTGCTCCAAAACATGCCCTGTGCTGGCGCAGCACGTAGGGTTGAGCATGGAGCGAGGGATGCTTGTACCTGCAACAGGTAGGACAGGATGCTCTCCTCCATTTCCCTGCTCCATCCCCTGTAAGATCCCTTTCTATTCCCAAAACCAGCACTGCCCTTAGTCTGGGGACACACAGTGCTTTCTCCCCTCCTGACTGCTGCGGGATGTGGGTGCCAGATTTGCCCGGGCGGGTGGGAGGCAGCAGCCATGGGGAGCAGAGCAGGAAGCACGTCTGCTGAGAGCTGCTCAGTACCAGCCTTACTGGCTTGGCCAGAAAGTTGAGCTCGCCTGGATTAGTTGGTCTGGGCGTGTCGGAGCGGTTTGGGAACACTCTCCAGAGTAGGATTTTGCATGATGGAAAAAAAAAAAAAAAAAAAAAAAAGAGGGAGTCCTCTGTGATTTATATGCTAAGGAGATATCATCATAGCAGAAGAATTTCAGCTGATTACATTCTGGGTGTGGGAATACAGGACTTTCTTCAGTTCTCACCTTAAGGTTGACACAAAGCCCAGGGAACAATACACAAATACTTCTGCACTTTCTAGTGAACCTTGACCTGCCGAAGGATAAAGTGAGGACAGGATCAGACTACAGGGGCTCAAGGAGTATCTGAAAGCAGCACCGTCTGCTCTCCCACCTGGACAGGGGCAGCAAGCGAGGCTGCCCTGCCAACAGTCCCACCCCAGGTAGAGCTAGGTGTCACAGGCAAGAAATATTGAGGTCCTGGAATGCCCCTGCACCTCACAAGAGGGCACAGCTCTTTCCCCAGCCCTTTTGGCCCCTCCACAGCCAGCACGGGTGTGCCGCTGTGGGTGCAGAGAGGGTGATGTCCCCACCAGCAAGGCTGGGTCCCAGGCTCTGTGCAAAGGTCGGGTGCGTGTCTGGTGCGTGCAGGTACATGTCTGGGGTTGTGTAGCCTCAGGGTCTGTGTGCAGTAAAATCCCTTTGCTGGGCAGGGAAGCAGCTCCCCCCAGCTTTCCTTCTTCTACTACCCGGCACGTGTTCCCTGCTGAGAGCCATCCATCAGCACCGGCAGCAAACTTGAAGATTGTCCATTTTGGCCTCTTTACCCAGACATGCTTCTCCCTGCCTGGGTCTCAAACGAGAAGGAGCAGTCCAAGGTTTTAAATAACACTCAGCTTCCCAACCTCCACACAGCCACGGACTTTGGGGCAGCACTTGTAACCTTGGGGTAGCAAAGTCCTATGGATACGGCTTTATTGGGAGCTGGTTCTTTAACAGAGTCCTGTTGGATCTCCCATAAACATTAATTTCAAGTCACGTAGCTCAGAGTGCCTTTGCTTTGCAACACAGTTTACTGCTGAATCTGTTTTCTGCCTCGATGGCTCTCAGAGCCTAGGCTGGTGGCTCTGCATCTGCTCGTGAGTTTGTCAGGCCCCCGCCAGCCAAAAAAATCTTCCTTTTGTGTTTCCTTAGATGACGATGACACTGAGTCTGGGAAACAGGAATCTGATGAGCCAGACACGACGGACAGTGAGGTGTGTTTGCTCTTCTCAGCCATTAGCTTTGGCTATCGGGTCCAAGAGGAATAAGACAGGTTGTCCCTGCCTGAGCTCAGTCTGGGAGGTGCTGGCTCTTCCTACACGAGGTGCCAAACCCCATTCCCACACTGTTACCCAACTTGTTGCTGAGGGATAGAGATATTACTCTTTCCAACTAGTCAAGAGGGTTTATGAACAACAGCATTTGTCACCACTCCGTAGCAAAGGTCACAAAGGTCCCCAGCAATGCCACTGGGCCACCAGCTCCCTGGGAAAGTGGGGTAGTTTGTAGACTGACTGCTCTTGTTGGTGTAGGTGGCTGCCTCATATGAAGATGATGTCCTACAAGAAGCTCAGGCTGAAGGGAAATATTTTTGCATTAAAGACAAAGCTCATGCACTGCAGAAGAAGAGAAAAAGAGGACAAGATCCCTGGACAAAAGGTAGGGAGGAGGAATTCCTCATGGCATCAGCTCAGGGCTACAGCTTCTGCTGCTTCCCCAGGGGCTCCTGTGAGAAATACCTGAGGGCATCGGCCGCCTTCTCTGAGGTAGAGAGGAGGGTGCTCCTCTGCCGAGTGGATGCCACACGGCAAACAAATGTTTGCCCAAGGTGATACAGTGGAGTCTTTCGTTTCCCTGTGATAAGGCACGCTGTGCCCTGTTTTGGCAACGGTTGTATCTCTAGCCAGAGGAGCCCCTGCTAATAGTTAGCCAGGGGAGCACTCCTGAGCACCTAAGCTAACAGGGCTAAATCCTGCGTGTTTGCTTAGCTGGTTGGGGAGGTGGTGATTGGAGAAGGCCAAATTCCCAGGGGCGAGCTATTGACATTCAGAGAAAGGTTTCTGCCAACTCTGTTGATCTTCTAGTGTGGCTGTGGAGGTTTTCCCTGCTGACAGAGGAATGTGTTGTACTGGTGTTTCCTACAGGTGAATAAGCAGAAAACTGTTCCTGATAAGCACGAGGATAAGACAGTGTGTCTGTCAAGCCTTAAAAAGTGCTCTGTCAGAAACACCCTGCTACTAACCCCCTTTGTACTGTTGATAAAGATGGGGAAGCGTTGACCCAATTATAAATGTGGAGAGGGCTGTTGCTTAAGCATGAAGGGAGATGGTTCAATGGCAAGCACTGCCCCCTGCTTTGTGCCTAACCTTTTGAGGTGCCTGCTTGCTCAGGGGACATCACTGCAGCTGAGTGAGAAGAGGATTTTCTCTACAAAACCAGCCACTCAGAGAAATGGGGAGGAAGCTGCCCTGTGCCCTTCAGGGAAGACACCATCCAACCCTCCAGGACTGGACGGGGATGTCCTGAGTGAGGGCTGGATGCACTTGGGGCAGGCATGGGGTGATGGAGAGGTACAACCCCTCTCTCAATGTGTGGTGTGTGCTGTGTACCACACTGGAAGGGGAGAAATCCAAGAAATTAATCCCGCTGGTCTGGGTACCCTCTCAGGTACACTCCTGCACCAGGTTGGTTCTCTGCCTATTTCTGCTTCACATGTTGTTTGTCTCCAGGGACACAACAGCCTCCCCAAGGTACCTGTGCATCTCACGCGTGAGAGGGGTTTCTCTTCATCTTTCCCTTGCTGAGCTTTGCTTCCTCCTGTGCTGCCTCTATTTTGGGAGGAGGCCACGCTGACCTCGTACATGTAAATCCATTGCTCTGTGGTTAACTCCTGCGGTCATCTTGCTGATTACAGGAGCTAAGAAGTCAATGAGAGGAAAAAAGAAAGTCAAAGTGGAGCAGTGTTCCGCAGCGATCATGAAGGAACCGGAGAACTGCTCTGCTTCCCACAAAGATTCCTCTGAGGAGAGCTAACAGCACGGCAGGATGAGAAGCAACGCTGCAAACCTAAAGAAGAGGGCTTGGAGACCTCATCATCCCACCCATGCTGGGAGAGCAACTCCTCCTGCCATGCTGGGCCAGGCAGTGGGGAGTCCATAAGGACTCATTAATGAGTAGAGCACCCTGAAAATCCTCGCTCAGTGCCCTGGGAGAGGCTAGGCAAGGAAGAGCCGTGCAGGTGATACCTGGAGCAGACAGGTCACTGCTGGTGGAGCAGCACATTCAGTGACCCCAGCCCTGCACCAGAGCAGCCCCTCAGACTGGTGCTAGCAAGAGGAGACACCCTCTTTGCAGCACTCGCCCCGACTCAGGACCGTGTTCTTCCCTGGGATTTCATGCAAGGAGAATGGACTACCCAGACCCCACTCCCCATGTACGATGTCCCAGTGGCTGGCCCAAGGGTGGTGACCAAACCGAACACCACAGGGCCCTGTGCACAAACCTGCATTGATTAAATCCCTACCTGGGTTTCATACATGTGTGGATCTTGTCTGACCTGGAGAAGGCCGATGGTTTTCTTTTCTAGTTAAGTGAGGAGCAAGCACGTGGGTGGGCAGGTGGGACATGTCCCTGGAGAGGACAGGGACAAGAGCACGGGGAGGGCTTGTATGCTGCCTCTCCCCAAGGTGTCCTGCATGCCTGGGAAGGGCAGGTGTGCAAGACCAGCTCAGCAGTTCACAATGACCTTGGCAGGATAGCTGGAAGCTTGTTTTCACGTGGATAAACTGTTCTTAAACAATTTTTTCTGATGTGTTAAGCATGGGAAAGTTTTCTTTCAGCATCAAGTATCCCTGCAGCCATGACATTGCACCAGGAGCCAGGCTGGGTTGCTCCTAGCACACATGGGGAGAACAGGTCTGAAATGGAGGGAGAGCAGAAGAGAAGTGCCAGAGATGGTCGTATCTGCCCAGTCTGATGCACCACCATTTCCTTAACCCGCAGTTATTTCTACTTAAATGTGGTTTTGCTTGCCCATTCATAAGAACAAAGAGCAAAGCACAGCAAGCCAAGAGCCCAGCCTGACAAGAGCATCCTTTTTCAAGTAGGCAGCATAAAAAAAAAAAAAAAAAAAAAAAAAACACCACCCCAAAAAGCCCCAGCTGCAAAGGAGCAGGGATGGGGAGCAGGCTCAGCCTTGCCCGGGGCAGCTGCAGGGCTGGGGGACGTCAGCCCTGCACCCAGCTGGGGAGGAGGATGGTTTTTCTGAGAGAGATGGGCTCAGCCAGGTGGGAGCAGTTGTGGGTGGTGGGGCCAAGCAAGGCCTGGGCCACCCCTGGAGAGGGGGAGATGCTGTTCAGCCCCTGGGGGAGCACCACAGGGTCTGCTCCAGGCTGGGCAGCTGATGGCTGTGGAGCCAGGGAAGGGTGAATCTGGGTGGCCAAGGAAGGAGCAGGGAGGGTGCGAGGTGTCCAGGGAAGGTGGGGGCAGAAAGGGTGTCCCATGGAGACAGTAGCTGCCAGAATATTTCAGAGCAGCTAAACTTCCAAAGCTGAAAAATTATTTAGATGGCTCTCTTCTGCCTCCCATCTCAGTGGATTTGCAGGGCTCATTAGATGCCACAGGGTGTCTTCCTTAGCAGCTGGCGGTGGAAGCAAAGCCTCCAAATGACCCTTGGCAGAGCAGCAGGTGTTATATTTTGTGCAGAACATGTGGGTTAACATGCTCTTACCTTCACCGTGTCATGGGTGGACTGCAGCCCTTTGCCAGAGATCATCTCCCTTGCTGAGGGGCTTTTCCTCCTCACATTCAATCACATCTCTCAGCAGCTTCTGATTAACAGCAGGCCAGACCCCAAAAAACTGAGCGAGGGCTGACGGGTTGGAGTTGCATCAGGAACTTGTATCTCTCTTGCACTGCTGTGGCAACTGCTTCCCCCTTGGAAAAAAAAAAAAAAAAAAAAAATCACGCAATAGAGGCTGTGCTCAGTTGGAGAAGGTCCTTTGGGCTCAACCCTTTAGTCGTGCTCTGCACAAAGTCCCAGCTTGTGAGTTATCCACTGGCAGTGAATATTCTGGGAATCAACGTTCTATTGGTCTGTGCTCAGAAATTCTTGAGACGTCCAGGTTATAAAGTGGTAACGAGTGTAACTGAGAAAGCAGAACCTCCAGCCCCAGCACCAGCTGCACCGGTGATGCCCCGTGTCTGGGAGATGGGTGGGCAGCACAGGAGGGAGCCCGGGGCTCTCGTGGCACAACTACCCCAAGAGCAGACCCCAATTTACACATCACCTTCTCCTGGGGACCGGCACAGCCCAGGTAATGTCCATCTCTGAGTTTGCATCTCAACGCTGTGATGTGGAGCCAGCGCACGGGAGCTGGCACAAGGAGGGGATGGGCAGGTGGGGGGGTGAGGGGTTGCGGGGCTGGTTTATCCCAGCTCATAGTGGATCAGGGCCACAAGTGATGCCTTCCCCTTTCCATCCCGGGCAGCCAGCACTGCGTCTGTCCCTTGCTGGGACTGACTTGCAGGGAGCAGCAATACCCAGAGCAGTGCTGGACATGTATGGTGAACTGGACAAATCTGTCTTTTAAAAATACCCCATCCAGGAAAAAAAAAAAAAAAAAAAAAAAAAAAAAAAAAAAAAAAATGTTTAAATGTAATCCTGTAAAGAGGCCCCTCCGACTGCAGGGAAGCAGCCTGGGATTGGGAGAACTGAAGGAGGGAGGGAACCTTTCTGCAAGTATAAAATAATCCCCTCCCTATAACAATCCCTTGGTATGGAAAATGTGCAGAAGTCCTTCCAAAATAATGAACTCCTCAATTTCTGTTTTTTCCACAGAGATTTTTTTTTTCCTCCCATTGAACAAGACCACCACAGAATTCACCTTCATTTATTGGACTTTGATTTTCTTTTATGTTGCTTCTTGCCTTTTTCCAGCAGGCATCTTCAGCTGATGCCCCATATCTCTATGCAGGATGTGTCTGAGGGGCTGGCAGGGACACGTATTTCATAGTTAGGGCAATCCCATAACTATAAAAACAAAAAATAGTTTTGTCAGCTCCGAGCAAAGTGCTCCTGCGAGCAAGTTGCTGAAGTGAAATAAACTTTACACGCTACACTTGATCCAACCCTGGAAAATCTGCTTCCACCCAGCCTCTGGCTTGCTGTTACCCCTCACACCATGTTGCGGGAACCTGGATAATTGCTGAAGTCCATTAATTCTTGTAATTATGCTTGTCAGTCTTTTGTTCAAGTCATTCTTGACAGATAAATGTATGTATTGATTTGGTGATATGCAGGCAGCCTCAGACTTGAACTATTCTGCTGTAAGGAAGAAATCTGAGACCTGCAAGGAACTCTGGAGCTTCGCAGAGGTTTTCTGTATGCAAGTTCAGCTCTGCTCGAGGTAATGTGTTTTCAGAAACCCACTGAGCAGTGTTCAGCCCAACAGGCTGATTCTGCCTTCCCTGAGAGCACAGCAGCCTTTTAATAACTTCACAGGAGTTTGGCTAATGATTCCAAGGGGCATCTGTGTACCAGACCCAGCAATCTATGCTTTTTGCAGAGCTAAGCCATTTTTTTTTTGCCACATTTCCATTCAACCCAAGAAGGACAATTTACACAATGATCTTCAAAAAGCCACTGAAATTACCCTTAGAGTGGATGAGTTATGACCCGCAGAGCAGTAAAGCAGAAGAACAGCTGTCCCATGAACAGATCAGCCCTTCTGGGAGACCGGCAGCTCATGTTTGTTTTGTTTAGACAAATTATAGCTCTGATGTCATCAGGGACACGATGGAGGTAGGACGTCTGGGCCGATGAACTGGTTTCCCAGAGGATCGGGTTCAGAGCACAGCTTGGGTTCACACAGATCATGGGCTGGATTCAAAATTGCACACAAATCTGAAAGAGCAATGCTGTAAGCATTTCTGTTCACTTTTAGTCCATCCAAAATAGCAACAGCTGGTTTCCTTATTGCCCGTCATGCAAAACAATTCTGATAACAGACCATCACAACTCTTTTGCTTCCTGATCCTGAAGCATCTGTACGTGCTGAATCATTCTCACAGTACAGATCACTGCTCTCAGCTTGCAGACCCCACCCTGGTCCTCCCTATGCATCAGCCTCCCACTAAACTCAGCAGCAAACTGACATTTTCAGCTACTCTCTAGACTTGATTTGTAAAATTTCATAAGAAATAAGTTTGTACAAGCCTGGCCATGAGCATAAATCTCCATCCTGGAAAAAAAAAAAAAAAATGCCACCACACAAAGATTCCTCTGTTGATGTATAACGGAGACGGTGCTGTGCAGGAAAAGTAGGAAGTCCAACAAGCTTGAAGCAAAAGGGAACTGTGCTGGGGACCCAGCTAGCTGCAATGCAGGAACCAAAAGCACCAAAAAAAGATAAATGCATATTAGATTCTTCTCCCCCTTACAATATTCTGCAGTGGTATTGCCTCTATGGCAATAGATATTTTGAAGGTGACTTAATTCATGACCTCTTCATGAGGCTGAGCACCACCTTCTCTGTGGTGAGATGCTTTTAAACAAGATCTGATCAGTAAGCAATGCCCATTTATAGTGCTAGCTTTGGAAACACAGCTTTGCTCTTCAGTTCACTGCAGGGAAACTCATTCCAGGCATTACTGAAGTCTTGCTTAAGTCCTGTTTTGGGGATTTAAGTTGGCTGGACATTTTGTGTAGGTCCTTCCCAAAGTCAGATGCACCCTGCATGTGTGAAAAAGGCAGCAAGCAGCCCGGCATGCAGCTCTGCAGTGCACAGCTGGGAGCTCAGAGGGGACAGGGACAACTTGGGTGTTTGGAACAGAGCACAAGGGCAAGGCTTTACACTTTTGAAAGGAGGCTGTAAAGTTGTGGATAGGTTTAGCAAGTCCTGCATGCAGTGGTGGTTCTTGGGAGAGATTTGGGGAGGTCCTTTGCTCCTTTATCTCGAGCAAAGTTTATGATAGGAATTCTTGAGCCAAAGTGCACGTTCCTCCTGCATCCCTTAGGCATCATGGCCTTCTGCTCTGCCTTGAACATTGTCATCAACCCTTTGAGAGTTCCCCAGCTCTGGCAGGGCTGTGCTGCACACCCTGTTCTTACCAAACTTGCTGCTAGATGTGCTGGTCTCCAGCGGGACCTCTCCAGAAAATGCATTTTGCAAGATCCTCCCACAAAAATTATTGATCTATCAATAACAGCATGTAGTGCAGCACCACGTGGTTCAGGGGAGAGGGTTTGATTCATTCATTCACAAATCCTCATGTAAACACATACATTTTTCATGACTTGAGCACATGGCCCTCCTGAGTGCAGAGCTGGATGATTAAATCAATCAGTTCTGTGTTTTTTTTTAATATTTCATGTCACACAGGAGAGCCTGAGTCATTTTCCAAGGCACACCGTTATCAGTAGATGTCTGTTGGCAATGTTTGCCTCCTGGGGCTCAGCATGTTATTTTGCTGTAACTGGAAATCTGCAGTGAGAGCAATGGATTGCATCACCCACCACGGGTGAGCACCTGGGAATCCACACCACGCCAGCAGCGGCCAAGGGAAACCAGGACTCACAACTGGAACCGACTGGAGGAAGATTAAAACCATTGCAGGTTGCACTGCTAATGTACTGGTGGGGCCAACAGCTTGAGTCAAACCCATTTTGTGGGTTTGGGATGCAGGAGGAGAGCGATGCTGAGGGATGTGCCAGCAGAGAGCAGGAGTGGTCCAACATGTGAATGCAGTTAGGAAGGGTTTGATAATTTCTTACATACATAACACATGTAGGGAATGGTACCTCCGGGCATTTTCTGAGACATATTAAATAGGAGAGGGAAAATGAGCTCAGGAGAATGCATAGTCCAAAAAATGCAATGGCTGCTATTTAGAGGGATGTGGTGAGTGTGAAGCTTAGCTCCAAAGAGTGCTGGTCCCCCTGGATGTGTTGATTTAAGGAGAGGGTTTTAAAGGGGTGAACTGTGATAAGATCCTTGGGAGAAGGTACTTGGATTAGAGCCTGTTCAGCAGGGAGGGGATGGTAAACTCCTGATGCACGTTGCATTTACGTGTCATCCTCCCAGGCTTCCAGAGACCTCCCTGGTCCCCCCCAAAGCCTCTTGGGTCCCCATCCACACCCCACTTAGGCTGGAAGAATATGTACAGAAATTTCTGGTGCCTTCTCTTAATACTGGCAGTTCCTCCAACTGGAGGGCTGTTCTTCTGGTTCCCAGCCTAAATATATTCATGACCTGCTTATCTTTGCTTGATTTTGGGCCATAATTTTGCAAAAAATGTAACACCCAGCCCACATATATGCTTTAAAATGCTGTCTCATATCTGATGCTTAGACCAAATCCTGCAGTTCTTGCATGTAGAAAAATCCTGGCAACTTTGGTGACTCTACTCCCTACATAATATTGGAAAAAGGACTTGCAGGTTTGGCCCACTCCACACCAGCTCCTTATTCCAGCAACCCCTGACTGCTCAGACATGTACCCACGTGGCCCAGGGCTTCCTTTAAGGTAGAGCAGGAGCTCCAAGAGCAAAATGAGCATGAGTTAAGTATCGGAGATTCAGAGTAATGCATTTATATATGTTCAATAATGCTGCTGTAAATGCAAAGTTACCTGCCTTCCCATTTGTCCGGGGGTTTTGCAGAAGTGAAGATTGGAGTGTGCTTCAGCCCAGAACTTGAAACTGCTGTGCAGCAACACCGTGACGAGTTCAGCCTTTCTCCAAAACAGCATCTCTGTGTATGAATTTGGAGCACCTTCAGTCAAACAGAGCTCGGGCTCCCTCTGTCCCCCCCACTGCGGGGACTCCCTCATTGCAGGAACCTGGGAGCAAAGGTTGCTCGTGGTTATACCCGGTCGCTGCCGTTTGTGGAAATGATGTTGATGTGCTACTCATCTGTTTTAGCAGCAGATTCCTTGAAACAGCAACATGCCCACTGTATTCATATATTGTGAGCTAATTCACTTGCCAGACATAGATGAAAGCTCCCCAGCGTTAACAGCAGCAACATTCAAGCTGCTAAATTCAGCTTTGAAGTTAGCAACCCACTAAGCTATGGAGGCTGGCTTCTTTCTGCTTCATCCTGCACTGACTCAGTGGGAAAATTTACATCCTACAGCTGTTTTTACAAGGAAAGAATGAAAAAAAACATTTATTTTTTAAAAGCCAATCTTGGGTTCTAGAGATTGTTTGCAGTGAGCCTAGTTAGGTTTCCATGCCCCTTTATCCCTTGGCTTATTTGATGACCTTGCCAGCAGGAAGGATTTTAATTCCTTTTTATCCCAAATTATTTTTCCTGCAGCTGTGATATGATTCTGACAAATAATTTAGACTCAAAATCTGACCTATATTGAATAGCATAAGATACTGAGGATGTTCTTGAGATTTTCAGGGGAAGGTTTATATTTTTAATGGAAGCCTAAAAGAAAACACTGGTTTATGTTTTCTATCCTAATCCTATTATTATTATTATTATTATTATTATTATTATTATTATTATTATTATTATTATTATTATTATTTACTATTAATACTATAAGTCAAGTGTTGATGTTCCACTTGCAACAGTATACAAAAAAGGATCTTATGAAACAGCCATAATAAAAGATGTAGAAGCTGTATGTGTTTTATAAAACAGTTTCAAAACCTTTTATTCAGTGCCCATATTTCAGGTCATATCACCAGACATCAGTTTGATTGCTGGTGTAAACCGCAAGCAATATTAAGAGTTGTTATGCAGCTTCTTTAAACATATTTGGCAAAAGCATCTACCATTCTAAGGGTCTAGTGTTGCAAACACATTAATACTTGGTTAATTGTAAACATCTCAGTAGTCCCTCATTAGAGGCAAATTTGGGCTGGGATGTCCATGTCCATGGGTGAAATCCTGCTTGGGAGCACAAGCTGCTTCCAGATATGTGAGGTGGGAAGCGTGGGAGCCTGCAAGGGCCATTTCAGTTTTGGAGGAACACAGAGGCCACCAGCACCCCCACCCTGCTGGTCACAGCACCAGAGGCTTCATCACACCCAGTCAAGCTCCCAAACCTCCTCCGCCAGGCCCAGTGGCATGGAGGTCGCTGGTGCACATCAATGTCTTCCAAGGACATCGGAAAAGACAGAGCTTTCTTACTTGGCAAGCTGTCAGAGCATCACCCCAGGATGTGGCAGACATCAGCTCAAGTGCCTAAGGGGTATGTTTATCCCATGCAGTATAAACACACCAGTCTGGGAAGCCGCGTGCTGCACAGAAATGCCTTGAGTCACTTTGTGGAGATAAATACTAAGTTTACGCTCTCCCAGATCCGGGTCTGCCTTGCCCATATACGGCCCAGGATCTGCGCTGTCTCAGCTTTGCTCCAGGGGCTGACAGGCGTGGGGATTCACCCCTTCACACGGGTTTTGGGGGCTGCTGGCGAGTCTCAGCGCTGCGCAGAGGTATCCACGCCATGCACGGGGATCCATGGCCTCGGGGCCAGGGGGTTGGGGTTCACCCCAGCCCCACAAGCTGGATGGCCGGTTCCCAGGCTGCCGGGCTGGAGCAAGAGGAGCAACAGCCTTTATCTGCTTTTTGTAGGAGCCATCTGATGCGCACAACTGCCTGACGATGGTTTTAGCAGATGGGTCCTCCCTGTCTGCAGAAAGGCCAGGAGACCTTGGGAATGGGCGGCTGCCAGAGTCACTGGGGGTTTGGGTGGGGAGATGCGGGGAGGAGAAGGTTTAAAATAGTCACAGAGAGGGCCGCAGCGGGTGCGTGCGTTGGGACAGGGTGGGTGTTTGTGTGGGGACGCGGTGGGTGGTTGGGTGGGGGGCACGGTGGGTGTTTGCCTGGGGACGTAGTGGGTGGTTGGGTGGGGACACGGTGGGCTCGTGGCGGTGATCCTGGATTACCCGAGGGAGGAAAGGGCTGCCTGCGTGACGGTCCCGGCGAGAGGGCCACGCAGCGATGTGCCGGCCCGCCCGGCGGGGGCAGCCCCGAGCCGCTTGGGCCCCCGGCGCCGTTGAGCGCCGGCGCTAGGACCCGGCCGAGCCCCACCTGGCCGGGGCGGGCAGGGCGGGGCTACCCGTGCTGTAAACCCGAGCCAATGAGCGCAGGGGCCGCCGCCGGGTTCATTTACATTCCGGCGCGTCGCATCCAATGAGCGTGCGAGTTGCACGGCCGCGCGGACGCCCCCCCCCCCCCCCCCCCCCCCCCCAAAGCCGTCCCGGCCGAGGCGGGTCGCGCTTCACTCGGAGAATGGCCGCGGCCGCAGCGTGCGGCTCCCCGCCTCCCCGCGACCCGCCGCCGCCGCGGAAGCGGGGTGACTCCCGGCGGCGGCAGGCCGCCCTCTTCTTCCTCAACAACATCTCCCTGGACGGCCGCCCGCCTTGCCCGCCCACCGAGAAACCGCCGCCCGCTGGCCCGGGCGATGGGGAGGAGGCGGCGGAGCCGGTCGGAGCCCCCCCGCGCTTGCTGTCCCCGCTGCCCGCCTGCCAGCCGCCGCCCGCTCTGCTGCTGCCCGGCGTCCCCCCCGCCCTCGCCGCCGCCGCCGGAGCCAAAGGGGAGGCGGACCCCCACCGCGGGGGCATCTTCCTGCCGCAGCTGCTGCTGGGCGGCCCGCTCTGCCCGCCGCCCCCGGCGCCGCCCGCTTTACCGGGGATGCTGGCGGCCGCCAAGCCGGGGGCCCCGGGGCTGCTGAGCCCCACGCAGGGCGCGGCGGGCGGCGGCTTCGCGCTGGAGGCGCAGCGGCAGAGGTGAGTGAGGGGACGGGGGCACGCTGGGCCACCCCCCCACCATCACCACTCACCCCGGGGCATTTCGGCGGCGGGGCCGACCTGACCCAGCGGGGCGTGGGAAGCGGCGGGACACCCCCCCCCCCCCCCCCGGGGGCGCTGGGAAGAGCCGGACTTTCCCAGAGCCCTCGGCCGGCCGGTGGCTCCGGGGGGGCGGGAAGCGGAGCATGGGAAACGGCTGCCCCCGGGGAGAGCGGCCGTGGGAGGCGGCGCCGGCCCCGGGGCAGCCCCGCCGGAGCGGGGAGGGGGGCGGATTTATCCTCGCAGGCAGCCGGGGAGCACTGCTGTGCCCGGGGGGGGGGGGCACGGCTGCATCTGCGGAGGATGCCCCAGCTTGCGGGAGTGCCTGGCGAGGGGGGTTCGCAGCGTTTTTCATCACTTTGAGGCTCTGGCTGCAGTTCTGCGGTATCCTGAACCCTGCCTCCTGCTTTTCTCAAGCTCGGTTTTGGCATTTTTTATTTTTTTTTTTTGTCTGTTTCCAGATGAAGCCGACAGAGTCATTGCTAGGTAGGACCTTTCCTCTGTGTAACAGCCACACTGCTGATGTAGTGCCTTCTCCTAATCTCTGCTGCTTGTCTGCAGTAACTCTCTGTATTAATAAGTGCTTGTACACTGGGAACTTTGAGTCAGCCTCAGGGGAGGATGTTCTGGCCTTCACCGCAGGACTACTGTTGCATTTCCAAGGGACTTCTGTCAGCCTAAAAGTGTTGGTTTTCCGATCAACTGGAAGGGCGGGCTCTTGCTCAGGTCTTGGGGATCTGAGCTTTGAAGGAACTCTTTTCAGGCTGTTTCTTGCATAAACAGCTTTGTAAAGTGAGCTGGCCCTCTGAGCCTGCAGATAGACAAAGCTGTATCAAAGGCTTCAAATCTCCGTGGTCTTTAGCGGTTTCCAGAGCTTTGTTGGTGAGCTGAAATAGAGATGTTGTCTGTGCTCTAAAGCTGGACAGCTTTGCTAATGCAGTTGATGGGTGTTTGGTTTCAGTGTGCATCTCGAAGTGGAGGTGTCCTGTGTGTCCCCAGGAAATGGCCACTGGGAGGTTTAGGTGAATTTAAAGAGAAGTACCTTTTGTCAGCCAGGTGTGGGGGCCTTTTTGTGTGTCATTCCTCCTGGGTTTTTTCCTTCCTGAACTGTCATTTACCACCCGTTGCTTTTCCTCTTGTAATGAAAGAGACCTTTCTTTCCTTACTTCTTGGAGAAGTTGAAGCTGGCTCTGCTAGCTGGATGCCCTGCATGCACAGATTGCACTGGTGTATACTGCTTGTTAAACAGGAAAGCCTGAAGTGAGGGTGTTGCTGTGGCACAGCTCCTTCCTAGCACTCCTGGTCCACAAAAGCCAGTGCTGTAGGTGCTGTGCAATTCATTTCATTGATTTAATATTGTAGGTAAAGCTCTTGAGGGCAAGTTTTGCATCAAGAGCTTTAGAAGCACAGTTATCTCTGCAGATGTGACATTCCGTGTGCCTGTGTGTACTGACTTCTGGACTGATGGAGTTTGTATAAATGATTAAATCCTTCTCCTTTCCATGCCAAGTCAATAGGACATTAAGAAAGTATTCCTAGAATCTTCTCATTTGATGTCCTTCCTGCCTCTTTCCTTGGCATCTGATTTTAGATGTTTGTTCCACTATAGTAATTCTAATCAAGCCCCCTGAAAAGAATGGTAAATCAGAAATAAAAGGTAGAGAGAGGTGTGAGGAGGTAATCAAGGGAACGAAAGGGCTTCTGTCTGAGTAATGATAAAACAGACCATGAATTTTCAGCTTGGAAGAAATCGCTGAAAGGGTATATTTTATTACATTAATCATTTTGTATACTACTTACGAGAGTGATTTGGAGTGAGAGTTCATCTATTTTTTTTATCTTTAAAGAAGAAAAGAGTGAGTGGAGAACATCTGCTGAAACTATCAGGTAGAAGATCCACATCTTTACATGGAGACACACACATCTTCTGATAAAAGGATGGTTTTACACTGCTTGTAGGGATGTGTTAGACCCACCATATCTTCTCCCAGTCACACTGGGCACAGAAGTGGGTGAGATGCACCATCCCTCTGTAATTACAGTTTCACCCATGACTTGCAGGATGGGGGACTTGGAACACCTTTTTCGCTGGACTGTTCCATGTTTGTTCTGTGACAGAGCATCCCTTCACCCCTGCAGAACAGTGGCATCTCCTCCTGTCACAAATACACGAGGGGTGATTCAGGGACTTTCTTGCAGGACAGTGGTGGTTATGCTGCTTCCCCTTCTGTACATGCCGTGCTGTTTGCAAAATAAGATTCAGAAATCAACAAACAATTGCAAAATGGGTTTCCTTTTATTGGGACTCAGTCATCTAGGAATTGTGTTGCCATACAGTAATGTTGCTACTGTAGATAGGTTAACGGCGTGCATCGTGCAAATATGCAGGCGTATGAAGTCACCAGAGGGAAGGGGGAGGTGGAATCTGTGCTGCGGCTCTGGACATCTAATCTTTGGTGCCCACTTAAGGCAGCTGCTCTCCTCAGAGTCCTTTTTTAGTCACTGTCAAGAGCTGCTTTGAATTGCCCTCGGTGGAGCCTCCCTCCAGTGCACCAGGAGCAGGGGCTGAAGGGTCTCCAGATTCGCTCCGTCCGTGTTCAGTGACCAGCAGTCCTGTGCCACAACGGGGATTTCATCCTGCTGGGGCTTGCCCTGATCCATGGAGATCGCTTTATCTAGAACTGGCAGTCTCACTGGGCAGAGTTTTATTACAAAACTTGATCTTGTTTGACTTGATTGCAAGGTTGCAAGAAGCTGATGAGACCGGCCAGCGTAGCTCAGGGCAGGTTGTGACAGCAACTCTGCTAGAGTCGGTGGTTATTTATTAGCAACAGGCAGGATCTTCGGTACAGCCCAAGGAATCAGGGATCTGCTCAGCTCATGTAACGTGGAGTTGCTCCGTAGCTGTCAGGTCCTTTAGGATGGAAACTTCAGCGGTGCACACTCCCTTGGAGGCACTGTTCAATCTGGATGCTTGGTTTCATTTCGCTGCTGGCTGAGCATTATAAATTTAATTACTTTAACCTTCCACTTTCGTTTTTCTAAGGAGTCTTCTGTTTACAGGATCTTAAACTACAATGCTGTGTTATACCAGCTTGCTTAATCTGCTTGCCATCCCTCCTCCCTTCTCCTTTTCCATCTTACTCTGTTCTTTTGTTCTTTCAAAGAACAAGCCTCACAATAAGCAGTGGAGGGAGGCAGCAAACAGGGAACAAATCAGCATTCACAGATTTTTTTTAATGAACTTCTGCAGCTGGGTCTGAAACTGGCAGAGCTTTCTGGGGAAACACAGATAAGAGAGCCCTGAAAATAGCCAGGTTATGAAGGCTTGAAGAATGGGAACAAGAGCCCTGAATGGCAGTGCTGCTTGTACTTCTGAGGTTTCAGTATAATGCACTGTAAAGCAGCTAGTTTTGCCATATATTTGCTGCATTTTGCTGAGCCTAAGAATAAATACAGAGACTATATTATTTCTAACTGATGCTTTAATGTCCTTGGTGTTCAGTGGTCAGGGAGATGAACTGAATGTTCATGGCTGCTGATAAATCAGAAATGACTGAGCTAATTCAGGTCATTTTAAGGGTGGGATTTTAAACAGTAGTTGATAAAAGCAGAGTTGGTCCAAAGTGCTGCTGCTAAGTGTTTATTGGATGCCGGATTGCTGACATAGGTGTGAGCAAATTAGTTCCTTGGGTGGAATGGCAGAAATGCTTGGTCAGGCTTTTATGCTTGTGATGGTTAATGTGTTGTTTTGTCCTATTGTCAACCTAGCTGCTGTTTTCACTTCAAGAAATATTTATATTTAAAAAAAAAAACTATGCTAATCAACAGATTTTGTTGAGATGGATGAAATATAATGTTTTAAAGTCTTAGTTTTCTTTTTGAGCCTTATTTGGAATAGCCTGAGCACACACAGTGCTTTTCAAAAAGCAGCAAGATCTGTCAGAGCCAGCAAGCTTTGACCTTTCAGGCATGAACAGTAGACTGGGATGTGCTTCTTGGGGCTGAAAATGAACATATTCTAAACCTGAACTTTATTTAGAAGTCAGATGAAATATTAGGGCTATAATCTCTTCCTTGGCAAGCACAGTTTGCTTCGACAGCTTTCTCTCATATTTGCAAGTGCAGGTGAATTGCATGTGTCCATTGTTAAATGCTGATAATTTATAGCTGCCTGTAGTATTTATTATCTGATACTCCCAGTCAAGTATATTAATCAGAAGTAGTAAGTTGTATGCCTAGCAGGAAACTTGGAGATCAGAAAATCCACGTCCTTGTATCCCACACACCTCTGTGCATGGGCCTGGGTCAAACCATCCTAGACACTTCTAATACCAAGGTTATTTGACCCCTTCGTTTAAAAGAGTCCAGAGGTGTTTAAAGTAACTTTGATCTCCAGACAGAAGGAGGCTGAGAGAATTAACTGTACCTTGCGGTTGATTTCACCAGCTTTTGAAAGCAATTGTGCAGGAGCCCCAGCAGCCGACTTCGGGATGCTGCAGGAAGGGGGATGCTCTGGAAGTGCCATTTCCATCTTTTCCCTCGCTGCCATCTCGCAGCTCCTCTCTGCAGGAGGTGATGAGGGTGTTTGGAATCATGTTGTCCTGCTTCAAGTCAGCGAGTTGTCAGTTGAGAGGGGAAAATGCTACCAAATGAAATGTAAAAACCTGAATAGCTTAACTTTGGGGAGGAATTGGTTGAGCCCCGTTTCAGACCTTCAGTAAGTGTTACGGCCAGGACATGTTTAGGTTGTCGGGGCTCTTTACCATAACTTCGCTGAGCCCCAAAGTCCTTCTTGATAATCGCAGAAATGTGAACTGTCCAAATTTGCATCTGCTTTTCTGACCAGCCAGCCAGCGATCTCGCTTAGCTGTAGGTGAAGCTTCTTCGGGGCTGTTGTGTGCTCTTGGCACCATGACTGAGCTAGTACAGAAGAGTTAGCAGCGGCGGTGATCTCTTTTTTTTTTGCAAGCTCCTATGGACTCTGGAATGAGGCAAGGAGAGAAAGATCTTTGCTTTCAATTTTAAAGAGTAGTTCTGAGCTACAAATGAGCTGCTCTGCTCTGCATTTGGGTATTGTTTGGTTGGTTTAGAAGGAAAAAGAAAAGTGGAGAGAGGGGAAGTGACT